TTTGTCAACATAAACAATAACCATCCCTTCACCTATATTATCAACTTCCAATTGAGGATATGAGACAAAGGCCCCGGTCACACGGGCAGGAAACTGCGGGGGGGGGGGAGCGTGGCTGTTTGCCCTGGGGCAAACTAACACGCAGTAAAGCGATCATACCTCCTGTGGAGGTTCCGTGGAGGTACCGTGGAGCTTCTGTGGTTACGGAGAGGCTTCGATCACAACACATGCCTGCGCGCAACAAAGAAGCGCGCGGCGAACTAGTTTTCTTTTTTTGTGTTCACTACGAATGCGCATGCTCCGTTGGGTGCATGTGCGCAACCACGGGGACTTGGAAAAAAAAAACTTTTTCACAAGGGGACATGGGCGGGCGCCGGATGCCACCGGAAACGCGATCAGACCCCCGCCCTTGCCCCGCAGTTTCCGGACTCTAGTACCTCCGAGGTACTAGTTTTTTGCTGCGCAGTTTCGGGAGGAAGCCTCGGTTGTGCCACAGAAGCGCTACGCTCCCCAGATCGCGCCCGGAAACTCCGCCTGTCTTCCGTATCTCTTGCGTGGCTAATGTTGCGTGTGACCGCAGCCAAAGTATATATTTCCAACCATATTTTTGAAAGGAGAAGGGAGTAAGTTAACCGGTTCTAACCCTAACCCTAAGCAAACATAAAACACTACACTAAACATAAACTACCTATAAATTACCAACTTGCTGATTATCAAATCTTTCTCCACCTTAACAGCCACAACTAGCTTTTTTTAAAATTATCTTTCCACAAACCATATATATCCAAAACAGAGTATTAAAGCCATATTAGTCCCACAACAGAATATCAAAGCCGTGTTAATCAGAAAACATAATTTTTGTCTTTTCTTTCTTTCTCCTCTGTCCATATCCTCCTTCTTTTCAATTTCTTTTTGATATCTTGTATTTTTGTACTTCAGTTTGTTTTGCCATAGCCACCTGGCCCCAGTCTCAAAGCACCAGTTCAAAACCAAGATGGGCCCATCTGGAGACTTGGATAATAGAATATGGAGCTGGGTATTGTTTGCGTATTGGTGACAGACAACCCCTAAAGCTCTGAACAATTCTAGGCAAATTATGCCGGCAGGTGAATTTGTTTTTCCTAAATTTTGAGCATGGTATTTCCATTTAGAGATCATGTCTAATAGCCATTGATAGACCTACACTGCATAGTTTTAACAGAGTTACACCCTTATAAGCTTATTGCATTCAATGGATCTAGAAGTGTAGGAAGTACTTCTTCACCCAAAGAGTGATTAACACATGGAATTCACTGCCACAGGAGGTGGTGGCGGTGGCTACAAGCATGGACGGCTTCAAAAGGGAATTAGATAAGCATATGGAGCAGAGGTCCATCAGTGGCTATTAGCCACAAGGTATAGATAGGGACTCTGGGGCAAGTGATGCTCTGTCTTCTTGGTGCTTGGGGGGGGGGGTCAACAGTGGGAGGGCTTCTAATGTCCTGGCCCCACTGGTGGACCTCCTAATGGCACTGGTATTTTTGGCCACTGTGTGACAGAGTGTTGGACTGGATGGGCCATTGACCTGATCCAACATTGGCTTCTCTTATGTTCTTATATCATCTGTATAACTTGGAAGCCAGTTTTAGTAGAAACTATAATTAAAATATAATAATTTAGAATTTTAGAAATAATTATTACAATATATATTTTATTATAATATTGTTGTGTTTTCACTGTAGTAGCGCTGCATTTCACAGTGGATGCTCTTGTTTATTTGTTCCAAACACTGTGATTCCTCTGTCATTATTGGGACATGCTTAGAGACATGTTACCCGACTGAGTACAGAATACTGAACTAGAAGGATCAATGATCTGTGTTTTTTTTAATAAGAAAACATCAGTAGTTTGAGTAACATTTAACTGTTATTAAGAAATCTCGATCTTATGTTTTATTTTTAAGAATAGTAAATGTATTTTCTATTATAAATTTTATCACACATTTACATGAAAGAGAATGAACTAACAGTGTCATCTTAAGCAGAGTTATACCATTCTAAGTACACAAAATTATTAGGCTTAGAAGGATATAATTTTATTGTATTGCACTGTTAGTCTCTTGTTTTGAGATTTCATTTCCGCGGAGTCTTTGAGCCCAGTGATACAGGCCCAGTGTTACATGCCCAAGGCTAGCTGATCTTGTCAGATCTAAGAAGCTAAGTAGGGTCAGCCCTCGCTAGTATTTCAAAGGGGGACCACCAAAGAATACTAGGGTTGTGATGCAGTGGCAGGCAAGCCATGGTATTTTGCAGCCCAGGGCTGGGGGTGGGGAGCACAGCAGAAGATGGCGCCGGCTGCTTTGGACCAGCTGTTTAGTCGGCTATTCAGGGGGAGGAAGCAGTCCCTATGGGCAGCCTAGGAGGGGCAAGGTTGTAAGTGTGGAGTGGAGCTGCTGGTCATCCCCCCATGGCTCTTATTTATGTAGCCGCCAAGGGAGAGTGCTCTAGTCTTTGAGACTTTTCCCCTCCCATCCTCCCTGCTTTTCAGTTGTTACAGGTTTCTTTGTGTTTATACTGTTTATTATTTGTCTCATCATAGTGGGCGGTTTGGGCATTAGGATGGATCCTTTTTGGGGGGAAGTGGTGCCTGTGTGCCCATCATGCCATCTTCCCTGTCCAGCTTGGGGACTGCAGGCCAGCGCTCACCACCAGGTGGCAAGGGAACTATGCAGTGGCTAGCACCCACGTGGTTCCAGAGGCTTGTCACTCCATGATTACACCTGCCCAACTGGGGGTGGTGGATACATCGGGTGGCTGGTGGGTTGCCCAGTGCAGGATCCATCCCTGTGCTGTGCCAGTGCTCCTGTGTTGTATTCAATAAAGCTGTGGCCTTTCTTTTCCAACCTGGTTGGTGTCATGTGTGGTTTCTTCTGCACTTTGTGCCCCTCCCCTTTGCCTAGCCCCTGGGCCTGCAGTGGCAAACCACCTCTGAACGTCTCTTGCCTTGAAAACCCTACGGGGTCAGCATAAATCCTCTGTAACTTGACAGGAGAAAAAGAGAGAGAGAGAGATTACGGACTGTTGTGCTAGGGTGTACAAGGACTTGTAGCTATACTGTAGCTACTAGGTCCTTATGGCAAGTCATGAGTACACATGCAGCCAGACCAGGTTTGGATCACGACTGCTGAAATGCCAGTCTTCTTCCCTCTGCTGCTTTTGACAGGTGAAGCCGTATGGGGCCCACAGGGAGGAGAATTATTTGCTCCATTGGGAGCCAACGTGTGCAATAAATTTTCGCATGTACTGGCTTCCCACAGAGAAAATAATGCTCCCCCCGAAAACAGCACAGGAAAGAAGGCAGGAATTCTTCCTTCTCTTGTACAGCAATCCTGATCCAAATTTGGCATTGCTTGCTTATGTATTCACAACTTGCCACCAGGAACTAGCAGGTACAGTATAGTTGCAAGTCCCCTAGCAAACTCATGCAGTTTGTAATTACACTCTTTATTTATGTTGGTTTAGTATGATGAAGGCTGCTGATTTCATAATCTACTCTGTATTTCAGATTTTATGTAACTTTTAATAGAGAGAGAACAAGGGCATCTGATTTCTGAGCATAGGTTAAGGGTTAATCCCCTTTCTTTCCTTGTATGGCCCAGAGGCAAATTACCACTTCAGGAGCCTACAATTTCAGTTTTACGGACAGAACTTCTTCCTCTCATCTGCAGAATGAAGTAGAAAAGCCTTTTGCTGCCAACAGTATACAAAATCTATGTGTGGAATTTGTTGCTCTACAGATCTATAACTGTATAAACATGTTCCAGCTGACAACAAAGAAGAGCACAAGCATAATTTCTCACTGTGTTACAAAATGTACCATGCCCCCCCCCCCCCCAGCGGTAATCCTATATATACAGTTTCATGAGTCATGAAAGATAATTTTCTGGTAAATATAATAGCCCCCTTGAACTCTTTTCCCCTTCCCCCATATCCCCTGCTCTGTGCACGCTTGGTCTTGGAGTCAGTGTTCGGGTTCTCTCTAAATAGGGCTAAGCATTTCTGCAGGGCTGGCAAGATGCAACATCACTGTGAAATAGTTGAAATGAAACAATAGTGGTAGTTGATAGTCCTTTTGATACAAAGGCATTTCTAAGTGCCATTCCTTATGTAAATAAGAGTTCATATACTCTATAAGAGTTCATATATTTTCTTTCATTTATGTGGTGATTTTAAATGAACATATTTGGCTTTTGTCTTTTCTGGCATGTTGCTTTGACGTCTTCCTATGATCTGTTGCATTTGCTGATGAAATTGTGGCTTTATTTGTTTCTTATTTATTTACAACATTTATTAGCCACCTTTCCAACTTATAGGAACTCAAGGCAGCTTACATTGAAAACAATATAATATAATAAAATACTTTAAAATGCATAAAAAAACTAATTAAGAACAAAGCTGGTTAGAAAAGTTCAAGACACCTCATTGTTTTAGCACTTAAAACTGATTTTGATGCCTTCGCACTTGAAAGATTTCCCCTGCCCTACTTCTAAGAATACCGTATTTTTTGGACCATAAGACTCACTTTTTCTTCCAAAAAAAGTGGGAGGAAAAGTGAGTGCGGCTTATGGACCAAAGGTTCAGAATATTTTTTCCCCTGTTTTCCTCCTTTAAAAACTAGGTGCGTCTTAAGGTCAGGTGCGTCTTATGGTCCGAAAAATACGGTACACTCCTACACGCTCCTTTAAGTGAACATCTAGCTCAGGCTATCTTCTTTTTTCTTTTTTTAACAGGTGGATTGTGCTCTGTCTCTGGTTCGTCTTGGTATGGAGAGAAATATTCCGGGCCTGCATTCTCTTTGTGACAACTTGGTTACACTGGAGACACTAGTTTATGAGACCGGATGTGACGTAACTCTGACCCTGAAAGATCTGCAACAAATGAAAGACACTGAGAAGCTGAGACTGTTAATGATGAATGTATGTGTTGCTTTATGACAGCATGAGTTGTAAACATTCTGCAATGGAATCTTGAGCAGAGCAGACTAAAATCTGATAATCAGCTCAGTTTCGTCTGGCTTAATAGCCATTTACTCCAAAATGGCCCCAGGAACTCATTCTCGGTGAATGCCACAACCCAGTACAGAGTTAAGGGCCCCCTTAAGCTCACTGATTTCATTAAGGTTAAGCATGCCTAACTCTGTATTGGATTGTGGTCCAAAGTTGAATGAGTTAAATATTGAAAAGGTAGAATGTCATCATTATATATTCTGCAAACTATCTCTTTCAGTAATCTGATGGGGCAGGGAATTATGGACCCTGAGAGGAAAGCTCCCAAGCAGAAAAATTGTTCCATGTCACCTACTACCCCTAGTACAGGGTTGCCGCTTTCTGGAAAGTCAGGGAAATGAAAATTGGTCAGGGAAATTGGTCTGAAGTCAGGGAAACTCAGGGAAATTGTGATTAAAATATGTTCAAGCAGTGGATTTTTGACCTGCTGCTGCAAGAGCATGATCTTTTCTTGTGGCAACTGGAATAGAGAAGTAGCAGAATACAAGCAGAACTTAATGATGCCCTTTCCCAAACATTTTAGATAGAACGTTTATATAATTTTTTGTGTACCTTTAAAACAATAACAAAAATGTTATGTCATTTGTTAGCATTCAGAGTATACTTGAATTGAAATTTGTATCTTGGTGTAATTTTTGGTGCAATTGCAAAACATATGTTGCTGCAGTTAATGTTGAAAGAAGCTGATATTAAATCTCTTTGACAAATATTTTTGCAGTTGAGACTTATGTAGTGGTAGAGTGGAACCTTACCTTGCATAAATGCAATACGACTAATGTCCCCTCTAAGCTGAGTTAGTGTGAGCTAGCTCACAGTTTTTTAGCCTCCGGCTCACACATTCTTGTCAAAACTAATTTATGCAGTAGCCAAATCGCTCGCTCACAGCTTTCATGCCAGTAGCTCACGAAGTAGAATTTTTGCTCACAAGACTCCACAGCTTAGAGGGAGCATTGACCTATTCATTTTTTAACTTGTGGTTATATTTGAATGGTGGTCAGGGAAACTGACAAATGTTGGTCAGGGAAAGTCAGGAAAATGAAAAATAAAATTTTAGTGGCAACCCTGTAGTGCTCTAATACTCATACTCATGATATGGATGGAAGGCACATAGTACAGCAGCTTTGCTGAATTAAAATACCAGAGTCCATGCCTGGATAAGAAACCGTAGAATTCTGCATACACTGCCTTGAATTCCATAACAGTAGAAAATGTAAGAAATATCTGCACATGCCAATATTGCTTTTACCATTGTGAAAGTTTTACTGTTGTTGTTATTGATAATATCTGCAAATCTAGAAGTTTCTCCAGGTTTGTAGAACTGTAAATTTTAGCAGAGGCTGACCCCATTTTGTAGATTTTTGAGCCAGCTTTTGACTACTAAATACTAGAACATTTCATATAGTACAGGATTACCTGACAGTTTTTGTACAGTGGTTATATACTCTTAATTTGTTGATCTGATTTTAAAACCATCTGAACTCTTTCCAGTCCTCAGAGGAAAGGTACGTGAAAAACGCTTACCAGTGGATGGTTCCTTTCCTACACCGCTGTGAAAATCAGTCTCCTGGGCTAGCTAACAAGCTTCTAAAAGAATATTTAGTAACTCTGGCGAAGGAAGATCTAAAATTTCCTCTGAAAATCTTTGAGCATTCAAAGCCAGCTGTAAGTTTATCTTATTAGTTATGAATGTTTGCGTCTCGTAATTTGTTTTTCTTTCACAATAGTATGTGTGCGTACCTTTTAAACTTGCTTGTACTGATCAGCCCTAGAGATAGCCTGTTGTTGTGTAGCATTGTTGATGTGCAACATTGTTGGATGAAGCATTTATCTTGTTGATACAAACATTTGTCCTCTAAACAAGGTAGAAGTGGAATTTATAATATATGGCTGATCTGTATCATCAAGATGTCAGAATATTGTTTTAATCATTAATCACTGCCCAGCAGCTAGTTATTTAGCATGTGGATGTTGAGGTACTGATTTTGTAAAGTTACTTCCCCTATTTTAGGCATCTTTTCTTCTAAAAAACTGTGCAGCTGGATCAGTGGTGGATTTTTTTTTTCATATTCTGCTGTTTCCCCCCTCCATATTCTGCTATTGTCATATTTGTATAAGAAGATGATTTGCATGCATCCCTAAAATGTTTTTAAGCCCCTGTGCAAACCTGCAAACAATTTGTTAGAGCATGTATGGGTCTAGTTGTGCAATTGCTAGAGATGTAAAATTTCTAGAAATTTTGAAGCCATAGGGGGCAACCCTGTTTTTTTCCTATTATTTTCCGGGAAAGGGGTGTGTGTAGAATTTTGAGAAAAATTGAAATATATGCAATATTTACTGTCCTATCAAACCTAAACAATATAAGCAATATAAAATGCATCATTTGTAGCTTACCCAGCATATAAAATTGCAAATATATCCAATAATGTAAACTATGGGCTGATGTTCTGTATGCTGTTTTAGCACATGTACCTTAATTTTTGCTGTCTGGCCGGAAAGAGCTAAGTTATCAATGAAACTTTCAGTTTTCTACTGAGGTTTTGGTGCAGTTTCTGACCCTCTTCCTTCTGGAATACCAGGTTCCCTTTGGCCCACTCGTAGGGGATTGGGGGGGGGCGCGTTAAGATTACTAGATCCAGGTTGGGAAACTCTGGATATATGTGGATGGAGCTTGGAGAGGATGGGGACCTCAGTGGGGTACAATGCCTCAGAGTCCACCCTCCAAAGCATCCCTTTTCTCCAGTGGACTTGATCTCTGTAGTCTGGAGATGAGCTGTAGTTCCAGGGGCTCCTCATGTCCCACGTGGAGGCCGGCATCCCTATTTCCTTCTGATCTTTTTTCTCCCTCCTGCAAAGTATTACCCAGTTTGTAGGTAAATGTGTCACGGTGGTTTGAGAGAAAGGTGAAAAGGTCAATTATGTTGACCACAGTCAGCTGGGTAAAAAAGTGAAGGACCTGGGAGCACAGGTTGTCAGTTTTTGTCAGTTCTTCCTGTCAAAGGCCATGGCTTAGGAAAGGAAAGAAGAATACTGCAAATAAATGACTGGTTACATAGATGGTGTCATCAGGAAAGGTTTGGTTTTTTTGGACCATAGCTTATGCTTTCGAGATAAAGCTCCGCTGTCAGGAGATGGTTTGTACCTCATGAGGGTAGGACAAATGTGTTTGGTAAGAGCCTTGCAACCTGCTATGGAGGGCTTTAAATTAAGTCCTATGGGGATCGAGACAAAAATTCAAAACCTAGTACGATGCCCATAACTGGTGATAAGAACACTAAAGATTTGCGGGGAGTGGCATATATGCTAGGAAATGTTAACTCACAGGTAAATACAGAAATGAAAACCTCAGGGCACATAAACCATGGATTCTAATGTACACTAATGCACAGAGTGTGGGAAACAAGCAGGAGGAACTTCAAGTCCTAATACAGGAAGGGGACTGTGACTTAATAGGCATTATTGAAACTTGGTAGCATAACACTAACAATCAGAATGTTAGGATTGAGGGGTACAACTTGTTTAAAAGTTACAGACAAATAAGGAAGGAAAAGGAGTAGCATTATATGTCAAGGAGGTATATACTTGTGAGGAAATATATCAATCTGAGCATGGAAGTTCTGTTGTGATTCTCTGGGTAAAAATAAAAGGAGTAAGAAATAATAGTGATATTATGATGGGAGTGCTATAGAGCACAAAGCCAGGCAGAGGTCTTGGATGAGACATTCCTAGAACTGATTACAAAGTTCTCAGAGAGAAGATTTACAGTGGTCATGGGAGACTTCAGTTACCCGAATATCTGTTGGAAGTCCAACTCTGCTAAAAATGAAAGGTCTATTAAATTCCTAACTTGTCTTGCTGACAACTTCATTTTCCAGACAGTGGAGAGAGAAACAAGGGGATCTGCTATCTTGGATTAGTAGAATCGTAGAAAAAGAGGTCATTTCGTAGAAAAAGAGGTGCAGGAGCTCATTAGCATAACTCATTTGCATATGCCACACCCCCTGATCTCACCCGGAGTGTGTCAGAAGGCAACACCCACCGCTCAGGCTCTACTGGACTGTTTTGGATTGCTAGCTATTGGGGGGGGGGACGTGCAGGTCTGTCCTCACAGAGGAGGGAGAGCTTGTACCTGAATAAAACTTGATCTTAAAGGTGCCACTGGACTGTTTTGGGGCGGGGGGGCCCCCCGCTGCAACTTACCTGGCTGCTTCTTGCTCTGACTGAGGGCTGCTGGGAGCAGGGGGCGGGGCTTGTTGCATGTGCCCGCCCCCTGGGCTCTTTACTGCCGGAGCTCCGCTCCTGTGCGCTCCTGCAGGAAATGACCCCTGCCAATAGGTTGACAAGGTGAAAGTACTGGGCACTCTAGGTATTAGTGACCATGTAATTTTGGAATTGATAGTCTTGGGGGAGGGAAAAGTTATACATATGCAGACATATAGGTTGTACTTCCGAAAAGCAAATTTTAACAAACATAAAATTACACTGGGTAGAATCCCGTGGTCAGAAATACTTAAGGAGAAGGGAGTTCAAGAGGGGAGGAAGTTTCTTAAAAGTGAAATATTTTTTTAAACTTTTTATATATGCTTTTCCTTCTCAATTCACATTAACATATTGTCCTCATTCAGTCTTCCTGTCTTATTTAACATTTGCAAAATTTCATTCTTTTATACATTTCAGTCAAAATTTCCTATCTATTGTACGTCCAGTTGCAAAATCTTTCCCATCTTTTAATAAACACACTTTCATCTTTCCCTTGAAGAATTAAGGTTAACTTGTCCATTTCTGCTACTTCCATCAAATTTTCTAGTGTTTCCTGTCTTGTTGGGACTCTATCTTGTTTCCAATATTTAGCCATTAATATTCTTGCAGTAGTCATTATATATGTCAATACATATTTTTCATTTGGTTTAAAATCCTCTGGTACCATACTCAATAAAACTATTTCCGGGGTTAAAACCATATTTAGCTTCATAATATCGACTACAAGTTTTTGTATCATTTCCCAATACCTCTTAGCTTTCTCACAGCGCCACCACATATGGAAAAAAGTCCCTATGTTTTTTGTACATTTCCAGCATAGTTTAGATGTTGAAGGATGGCATTTCGCTATCCTATCTGGGAACCAATACCATCTATGGTAAACCTTGTATATATTTTCTTTGTAGTTAATTGCTCTTACATATTGCAGCAATTTCCAGGTACTTGCCCATTTATCTCTATCTATCGTGTGACCTAGATCTTTAACCATGCTAACATATTTTGGCTGACCACTTCATCTTGTAGGTAATCCTCTAACAAAAGACCATATATTGTCTGAATTAATTTATCACTCGGGGATAGCCAAATCTTATCTAGTTGTGTTCGTGGTTCTTGGAATCCTACTGCCATATTTTTAGCGTGTCTAGATCTGAGCTGCTTGGCTTCCCACCAGGTTAATTTTAGGTTATATAGTTTTAATAATGTTTCTTCTGATTTTAACTTGTTTTCATCTAGCACTGTTTGGTAGTTTTCTCTATCGCACGGGTTGATGAGAGATGGTTTTATGTATGCTTCTAGAGGTGATACCCATTTAGGGGGTCTTCTTATATTTTTCTTTGATCTTATTCCATACCCATAACAACGATCCTCTAATCATATGTTGTTTAAAATTTGAATGAATCTTATCTTTTCCATACCAAATATAGGCATGCCAGCCCATATTCAGGTCATGCCCTTCTAGATTTAGAAGTCTAATATTGTCTAAAGTTAGCCAATCCTCGATCCAGGTTAAGGCTTCCGCCTGGTAATATATTTCCCAATTTGGTAATCCGAGACCCCCTTCTTCTTTTCTCTTTTGGAGTAATTTCCATCTAATTCTTGCTTTTTTGGGGTGCCAAATATTTTTTTTTAATCTCTTTATCCATCTCTATAAAAATTTGGAGTTTCTTAATATGAGTGCATTTTGGGCTAAGAATAGAAATTTCGGTAGTATCATCATTTTTACGGTAGATATCCTCCCCATTAATGATAACTGTAGCTTTTCCCATTTTGATAGATCCTTTTTAATTCCTTCCAATAATTTATAGTAATTGTCTTCGAGGATTGTACTATTTCTGTTGGATAGCATTATTCCTAGATATTTAACTTTTTTCACCACCTCTATGTTTGTTATCTTTTGTAAATCTTGTATTACTTTAGCTTCACAATTTTTTGTTATAAATTTAGTTTTTTTCAGGTTAAGTTTTAGGCCAGCTGTATATTGCTTAATATATATTGGCTTGAGGCTATTGGATTTTCCATTATAAATACTACATCTTCCACGAATGCTAAGAGTTTAAATTCTTCCCCCTTTATTCTAAGTCCTGCTACTTCTTTATCATTGCTTATCACATTATGTAATGTTTCTAGCATGAATATGAATAATAGAGGCGAAAGTGGACGCGTTCCTTTTTTGTATCTCAATTTGCGAGGATGTATCTCCGTTTATAAGTATATTAGCATATTGTCTGTTGTATATCGCCCGTACCATTGTTATGAACGTTGGTCCGCCTCCCCAGCTATTTAATTTTTGGAGTAGAAATTCCCAGGACAAATTGTCAAAGGCTTTTTCTGCATCCATAAACATCAAAGCCATTTGTTTCTCTGGGTGTTGTTCATAATATTCTATCATATCCATAATTGTCCTC